CTTGAACCTCTGGAAGTTCTCTATCAATATACTGCTGCAAACGTTTCTGAATTATCTTCAGTAAGATCTTACTTGCAAGTGATATTAATGATATTGTTCTATAATTTCTACATTCTGTGGGATCACCTTTCTTTGGAATGGGCACAAATATGGATCTCTTCCAGTTCAGTTGGCCAGGTAGCTGTCCTCCAAATCTCTTGGCATAACTGAGTGAGTGCCTCCAATGGGGCATCTGTTTGTTGAAATATGTTATGAAGATATATTTTTTACCAAAAGAAAAAAATGCTAGTCCTAATCTCAGTGGGTTCTGTGTGGCAGGTGAAAAACATGGCTTATTTCACAAACTGATTATTTGCTTGTGCATCTGAAATATCCATTTCAAATTAAAGAACAGATAGTACATAATCATGATGTGATTTTTGAAGTGCATGTCTAAAATTCTAAGTTAATCTGCCATGAATAAGAGATAAGACTGGGGAAAATGAATGAAACTATATTTAAATATTATATTTATTTGAATAAAAGTGAGAAAGAAAGAAAGAAAAACATAACCTTCTCTTCCACTTCTTTAACTTGATGATCTTCAGCATCATGTGTATCCTGATGATGAAGATATAATTCTGCTATTAAATTATCCTGAAAAGTAAATTGAGCTTTAGGCTAAATAGTTGGGCTAGTGAAGTCCTATTGGTTCAGAATGTCTAAGGAAGGGGGACCAAATAGGGGAGTTCTTAGGCAGGTAGTTGAGGAAAATCTCAAGGCTGACAATATTCCTGCCTTCCTATATTTGAATTCTAGAACACTTAATTGTACTCATGAGGAATCTGTATATAGACCAGGAGGCTGTTGTTTGGATAGAACAAGGGGACACTGCATGGTTTAAAATCAAGAAGGAAGTGTGTCAGGGTTGTCCTTTCACCATGCTTATTCAATCTTTATACTGAACAAATAATCCGAGAAGGTGGACTATATGAAGAAGAACATGGCATCACGATTAGAAGAAGACTCGTTACCAATCTGTATTATGCAGACAACACAACTTTGCTTGCTGAAAGTGAGGATGACTTGAAACACTTACTGATGAAGATTGAAGACTACAGTCTGCAGTATGAATTTTGTTGTTGTCATTGTTGTTGTTATGTGCCGTCAAGTCGGCAGTATGAATTACACCTCAATATAAAGAAAACAAAAATCCTCATAACGGGACCAGTAAGCAGCATTATGATAAATGGAGAAAAGATTGAAGTCGTCAAAGACTTCATATTGCTTGGTTCTACAATCAACACCGATGGAAGCAGCAGTCAAGATATCAGACATCGTATAGCACTGGGCAAATCTGCTGCAAAAGACCTCTTTCAAGTGCTGAAGAGCAAAGATGTTTTCTTGAAGACTAAAATGTGCTTGATAAAAGCCATGGTATTTTCAATCACCTCATATGCATGATAGAGCTGGACAATAAAAAAGGAAGACCGAAGAATAGTCAATGCTTTTGAGTTGTGGTGTTGGCAAACAATGCTGAAAGTACCATGGACTGCTAAAAGAACTAACAAATCTGTCCTGGAAGAAATGCAGCTGGGATGCTCCTTGGAAGCAAGAATGACCAGACTTTGTCTCACCTACTTTGGTCATGTTGTAAGAAGGGACCATTCCCTGGAGAAGGATATCATGCTTGGCAAAGTGGAAGGACAACAAAAAAGGGGGAGACCCTCAACAAGATGGATTGACACAGTGGCTGCAATGATGGGCTCAGGTATAGCAAAGATCATGGGGTTATAGAGGACCAGGCACTGTTTCATTCTGCTGTACATGAGGTTGCTATGAGTCGGAGACAACTCAGTGGCACCTAACAACAACAGCTCCCCCTCCTCCCATCCCTAGTAACCAAAAAGAAAGTTTCCTTCCATATATAAACCTTTCCTTGACTTTTTACAATAATGAACTAATACTGTATTTCTCCTTCTATGATTGACTTATTTCACTCAGCATAATGTCCTCCAAGTCATCCATGTTATGCTGTGTTTTGCAGATTCTACATTATTCTTTAGGGTTGCATAGTATTCCACTGTGTGTATGCACTATAGTTTGCTTATCCATTCTTCTGTTGATGGGTACCTAGGTTGTTTCGATCTTTTTGCTATTGTTAATAATGCTGCAATGAATATGGGTGTGCATATATCTGTTCTTGTCCTGGCTGTCACTTGTTTAGGATATATATCTAGTGATGAGATTGCTGGGTCAAATGATATTTCTAATTCCAGCTTTTGAAGGAATCACCATACTGCTTTCCACAGTGGTTGTATAATTTGACAGTCCAACCAGCAATATATGAGAATCCCAGTCTCCACATCGTCGCCAGTATTTTTGGTCTTGTTG